AATGCTCTGCATAATTCTAAACGTGGTATGGTGGTGTCCTTAAGAGGAGCCACGCGACTTTTAGCGCAAAGTAGACGTACGCGTGTGTTACCGAATTTATCTCGCGATCTTACATATAAGCAACCTCCGTAACCATATTGACTCTCGTCGCAGAAACCGTGTAATTGCCCGTCGATTGGGTCATCAACGTATAGATCACGGTTTAGTATTTCGGCTCCGAGCGGATTATTCGCGCTTTCATCTTTCGCGAGTAGTTTTATGGTTCGTATGGCAAGAAAAGGTGCTGAGGTTATTCCGAGTGTCACCGTGTTAAGTTCGAACTCGCGAATCCGTTCGTTATGTCACTAAAATATCTGTTGATATTGGCGATCGTCTGGATGAATTCATGTATGTCGATAAATTTTCTCGATATCCGCGTTCAGTACGTTCTGATACGTTCGGAATTGTAACAAGAGTTTTACTACAGTATCTCGAATTGTAGGTTTTACTAACAACATGTTGTCGAGAAATACATCTGATCATTTTTTTCGCGGAAGTGTCGAATACGACCCATACCTTTGTTGTCATTCTGGCTGATTTAATGACCGCGTGATGGGGAAGATAACAGCCTCCCGTAAGTTCGTCTTTATCATTCGACATATGTCTTAAATCGATATATTCCCGTATGATCCGTTCATATTCCTTTCGGAGTTCGGTATTCGCGTGTAACTTCTTCGAGAGATTGTGGAATCGGCGTGAGGCTATACTACGTAGGTGACTGTGATCATGTCCTTCCTCGCGAAAGGATATACGCACCATGTATTTTCCCGATTCGTATCGTCTCGCATTTTAGACGTAATGAATTTCGCCTTTTATTTGTTTACTGCCTCCGATCGCGTTATCTTGGGGAGGATGAGTAGCGAAAGGTTCTGCCTATATTTATTGTTTAGCGATTAAATGATTAACTCGATGACGATCATCGATTAAGTTCTGGTATCGTTGATAGCGTGAGTGGAAACCTAATATGGTATAATCTGTTAGCGTAACTCTATCGTGACGCACGTATCTAAGAATGCCCGAAATTGTTTACAGGTCCCGTTTCGCCTTTTCTAACACGGTACTTAGCGCTCATAAGGAATTAATTCGGTACACCGTGCGAATTGACATGAAGGATCGGTGTTAGTCGCGTAGTGATGAGTTCGTTTGAGATGTCGACGCGGTCTCCGTCCTCGCGGGGGTGTAGCTCTCCTGTTTCGTGATCTCATGCTCGTCATTGTCTATATGTATCGACGTATGATGGGATCGGCTGCAGATTTGACAATGWGAACTCTTACATGGGTCTCGATGCTTCCGTAAGCAATTTTTACATAATCCGTAACGTTCGACCATCGCCAGTCTGTCTCGTTTCGTCAGGTCATGGTACCGGGGGCATTGGTAAAAAGATGTTTATCTCGTTTGCAAAGAAGGCAATTAGTTAAGGTCCGAGTAAGAAATGTACGCGTTATATGTGTCTCCTGTCGCTTTAGTGGCCGTAAAGTCATCGTATCAGTATGTCTACGTTTTGCGTGAGGCTCGTTTCCCGATGTCGATGGAGTATTCGACGACGCGACGCTACGGAGTGTGTATTCGTTTACAAAGTCGCAAAGCTGATTCATAGTCGGATAATTATCCGCATCTAACTGTTTGTCCCATTCTTGTCGAAGGTCGCGGGGTAGAATGCGTTCGCCGAGGCGGACCATCAGTGCGTGTGGTATATTGAAAGAAGTGATAGTATCTGCATTGGCCCGCAAGTCACCCGCAAGCCGTGTCATCTCTTCTATTGACATGTTTTTCGGCCGTGGAGTGTCTATGAAGGCGTCAATGGCCCGTGCCAAGAGCATGCGTTGCCGGTCGAAGGTTTTCAATAAAATTTCCCACGCGTTCTTATAATTCTGCCCGGTCGGTGCATATGTCGCGATCGTCTGAAGCGCTCTACCGGTAAGAGCTTCACGGAAGTATATATGTTTTTCTAAATCCGACATGTCGGTGCGCGCGTCCACCAGCGTCATGAAACTCCTCTTGAATTGGATCCACTTTCCGATGTCTCCGTCGAATTTCGGGATCTCGATTCGGCGTAATCGTATTTGCTGATCGCGGGTATTTGTAGTACCGTCGTCTCCATGAGAACCATTCGTATTACTAACCGCGGCCGTATCGCCCGAATAAAATTTGTCTCCGATCGCGAAATATCTCTCTATGATTGGATTCAAACTATCGACTCCTCCTACTTCGCTGATAGCAGTAGCGCATTTTTCATACAATGTTTCCTATTTCTCTACTAGCTGAGTAAGTCGTTCGTAACGCTTTCTTATTTCCTGTTTACTTAGATTTCCTTCTTGGATTAGATTTTCGACGTGTGTTAAACCCGATTCTAAAACTAGCCGTTTTTGTTCGAGCTGTTCCAGCTGCTTTTGCAATGCCATTACGGACCGTTATTATTTATTCTACTCTTCGAAATCCACTCAAATTAATTTATGGTAATATATAAAAATTCCCTTTATATGAATGAATGACCGCACGTTGGGTTCTCGATCACGTGGTACGGCCCTGAGGCTAGATCGTTGGAGGGGGTATACGTATGTATAGTATAAGAGGCCGATGGAGGAGGTATACGTATATATAGTATAAGAGGCTGATGGAGGGGGTATACGATTGTCGCTAGCTATATGCCGATAGATGGGATGTCCGGCGATGACGTCACGGAGTCTTCGTCTAGTCGAACGTTCAACTAAAGGAAGGTGGCGTGGCGGTGAAGCCGCCGAAAATGTTATCGTTCTTTGTACGAGAATAAAGCGTTTTCCGAGATAGAGAAAATGAGCGTAATGCATAGATATATAAGAAATTGCGAACTTCTACGGGGTTCGAAAACGCAATTTCCCTTGAGTGTTACGTCTCGCTAAGAGATTTCATAGGAGGCCGCTGTCACCAGTCCTTACTTGAAGAGTAAGAACAAATTTAGAAATTGTCGACCGGTCACGACCTTACAGTCGTTTACTCGGGAAAGAGAAAAGAAAGTAATTGCCTGTTTTTGGGTCAGCCTGCTTATCCAGTACTTTAACCGGGATAGGCTTTTAAATAGCAGATACCGGGGCGTCGGACGTCAATATACTAAAGGAAAACTCAACCCTAGATGTTAACCAAATCTTAAAAATCCTTACCTGGTTTCCGGAGCTGGCCAACGAAAGATGTAATCCAAATATATCGACTGGAGTTGGCGTTGGAAGGAAGGGAACGGTTGTTAAATCTCAATCACAAAGTAGAGTAACAATAAAGTATATTTTAAAATTAAATTTAGATTCAAAAGGTTACACAATAAACACTTTGTTTCACAAACACATAATTATTACAAATGTTAACGAAATATTAATTTGGTAATTGATAATGGACTTAAACTTGTAAAGATTCCGGATGACAATGATCACTAAAATAAAATGTTTCAAAGTCAATGACTAAGCTTTATTAAACAAGAAAAAGAACTTAGTAGCAAAATTCGAATAATCTGATTGTAAATCAGCCTAAGTCAAAATACCAAGTTAATATTTATAAACCGTTTATAATTGAATTAGATCACGCTGGGCAAATGCCATTCGAACACATGAACACACGATATTTAACAAACACAAGATTTAGATATCCACGTTAAGTAGACTATTATAAATGAACTTAGAGAACTTAGAACAATTTTAGACGAATATACAATGTGGACTTATAAGGTAGACTATTTCAGAGGAACTTATACAAGTTCTGACACGTACTCAATGCTCACATATGGTAGACTGTTTTTAAACGCGTACTTAATGACAATATATGGTAGACTGTTTTAAACGCGTACTTAATGATAATATATGGTAGACTGTTTTAAACGCGTACTTAATNCATTTATGCCATGTAAATTCACCACGATATTAAAACCGATGGAGAAAAATCATCCTGGATATGCCAGTTATGCTCAGCGTTATAAACAATTACAAATAAACCTCGAGAACAATGATTACAAAAACATTGAAGCCTTTTGTGCACAAAATAATATTTCTAATGAGGAAGATTACTTCAATATTCTTCAAGCAGGAATTATTAGACCTAAAGTATTTTTAAAACGACAACTAAGAGAAAAATGGCACAATCCTTTTAATTCTTTCATTCTTAATATATTACAATCAAATACAGATATGCAGTTTATTATCGAGGAATACTCTTGTGCCGCATACGTTGTTAATTATGTTAATAAAACTAATAGAGGTATTAGCAACTTACAGCGGCAAATTCTTGAAACAATGAATGATCATCCAGAATTCAACTTAGTCGAAATAAAACGAAAAATGAGTGTTAATAAGCTTAATACTGTTGAATTGTCGAGTCAAGAAGCATCGTGGTATCTACTTCGTGAACCTATGTCAAAAAGTTCTGTCTCCGTAGTTTATATCTCAACCGTATGGCCTACTGAACGAGTGCGTATTAGACGAACACAAAAAGAATTGGATGAATTGATGTATGATGAAAATTCGACAAATGTTTGGAAGGAAAACTGGTTTGACAAGTACGAACAGCGGCCAGAAGAAATGGAAGAATTATCACTTGCACAATTCGTTGCCAATTATACTAAAAATTCAAAAGGAATTTATATTCGCTGAAACAAACAATGCATTATTCGATATAGAAATTATGACATTGCTTTTGATTTCAATGAATACAAAAGAGAAATGGTAACTTTACACATTCCATTTCGTAATGAAGAACTTGATATTCTTGAAGAGATGAAATTTATTAGGATTTACGACGAAAATGAGAATCTTATTTTAGAACGTCGTAAAGAGTTCGATTTGAACTTAGACATTAACAAAACGATTGAGATTTGTCGAAAACTATGTCGTGAAGATGGACAAGATGACGATGAGATCCAAGATGTCGCTATGAGATTTCCAGAAACTAATCCATTCCAAGCACTGTATGATAATCCTCATTCTGAGGTCAACAATGATTTACGTTTAGCAACGCTAAATAAACTTGATGCTATTGCTAAACGGAAAGAAAATCTTATGCCCAATGAGCAATATTATGAGCTGATGAAAATAGCTAACGAAAAACAAAAGGAACTTTTAATGCATGTCATTCCCCATCTTCAGTCAGAAAATCCATCTCCATTACAAATATTTTTAACGGGCCCTGCTGAATGGGGGAAAACGTTTGTAATCAAATTAATAATGGAAATTTATAATAGATATGTTGAAAACGATGGATCCTGCAACTCTTATATCACGTGCGCTTCAACTGGTAAAGCAGCTGTGGCTATTGATGGATCAACGATACATACTGCACTAAAGATTAGTCTTTCTAAGTTGCTTCCTTTATCCATCGAAGTAGCACAACAATATAAATCATTGTTCAAATATGTTCGCGTATTAATTATCGATGAAGTCAGTATGATTGGAGCTGAGTTGTTATCTCAAATCGATTCTAGATTGAAACTAATAACCGGTAATTATCAAGTAAATTTTGGTGGATTAGATTTCATTTTGATTGGTGATCTCCGTCAACTACCGCCAGTTCGCGCTACTCCAATTTACAAACAAATAAAGCAACAAATAGCTGGTCCAACATTATGGTGAGGGTTAAAATTCTTTGAACTGACCGAAGTAATGAGCAAGCCAATCGAACATTTTCTACAATATTAACCAAAATTGGCGATGGTAAGCTCTTGGACGATAACGAGTTGCAATTAATTGAATCAAGATTTTATTCTGAAGAAGAAGCAAATATTATTTGTCCAGACGGGATACGATTGTTCTTGTATAATCATTCAGTTGCTGAATACAATAACAAAGTTTTAAATTCTTCAGCCCGAAAAGTTATTTCAGAAGCAGCTGATGTATATATTGGTTGTCGCAATGTTGAACAGCAAACTTCTATGCGTTTAAAATTACATAAAATGACAACTGTTAATACAGGAGGTTTGCCTTATGAAATTACATTTGTTGTTAATAAACCATACATAATAACAACAAATATCGACGTATCGGATGGATTAGCGAATGGTGCGACAGAAAAACTGATTTTTATCGAATACAATGAAAAAGGAGAGATTTGTCGATTATGGCCAGAATTCCCTGCATGTCCCAAAATAGGAGAAAAAATCAGAAGAAAGGCAGCGTCATTAATACACAGGAACAATCTTTGTCCACATGCAGTACCAATTAATCGCAGAACATGCTCTATACCATTGGTACATAATAAAACAGTTATTGTTAAACGTAACCATTTCCCATTGGTTTCTGCGTGTGCTATAACAATTCATAAGTCTCAGGGAGGTACATTTAATGAAATTGTATATGAATATGACAAGACACACGCTCAATAGCTACTGTACGTTGCACTATCACGAGTAACATCGATGCAGGGCTTACATCTCGTTTCCAAAAAGAATGACAAAAAATTTTATCATGGTCAAAGTGTAACAGTATCCACAGCTGAATTGCGTTCTGAGTTTTAAAGGCTGAACATGAATCGATTAAAAACTATTAATAAATTATTATATAATTTTTTAAATAAAACTAAAGGGTTGTCACTGTTCACCTTTAAGGGAGGGGTAAGGGTTTCAGCGTAAAAAAAACACTTTTTTTGCGATTTTTTTTCTCAAATATGGATTGAGCAATTTTATTCAAACCTTCTATACATTATTGAGCATAGTTTTGACAATGTTCTGTAAATTTTTCATGCAGAAATATTGAAGCATTAGCCCGTAATAGAGCTTCCCCCAGAGCGTCTAGAAAAAAAAACTATTTGCGGTGTTCACTGTAACTCGGCCGGAAATTATCTGAAAATGAAAAACCATTAAAATTTAGCCAAATTGTAATCAAATCTTCCCCCCTACGTTTTCTGATTTTTTTTTTTAATTTAAAAATTTTTGGCGGCCATCTAAAATGTGAACCGTTATTTTCCACGAAAATTTCTGCTATTTTGTAGGTGGGAAACAGCCTTAATGTAAAAAAAAAAATTTTACTAAACGTAGGGGGGAGGTATTTTATATGTAAAAAATGTGTACAAAGTTTTAAATGAATCGGTCGAGTAGTTTTTAAATGGCAGTGAACACGGACTTTGAAAAAGTAGTTTTGAGAAAAAACGCGTTTAAAGTTTATGAAGCAAAAAAGTGAAGAAAAAAATTTTTTTTTCCAACTTACAAAGAATCATCGATTCCAGCTCCATACAACACACTTCCTGCAGCATTGTTGATGTCTTCAGCCTCTTTTCAACGTCTTCTGGTACACTTGCACTGGTATTTAGCTTGATTTTCTTCGATGAAGCACTTTTTGTGGTAACCTCATCTTTAATTATTTTATTCGGATTAAACCTTTTTCTTGATCTACACAAATAAATCCTTCCACTTCGTCGGTCTTCTCTCGAAACTTTGCTTACTTTCGGTATTTTT